CAAGAAGTTTTTAAACAGGAGTTTGTGAAATACAAAAATACCAACAGAAAAATGGACACAAACACACAATTCACAAATGAATGGGTCCTGGCTAAAATAAGTACACAGTGACCTCAGCTATCAAGTATCAAGTATGGAGGGGGACAGACTAGGTCATCAACAGAGGCTGTCTTTAGGTTGGGAGTTGTGGATAATTTTTACTTACTTTGTTTATATTTGGATTCTAGAGTTTTTGTACAATGAACATGGACAATTTTGGTAAGCAGTTATTAAGTAAAAAACTAAGTTCAGAACACTGTGGGAAATGTGAAATATGGGAACAACCTCTTCCCCCTCAAGGAACTTTTCCTAGCGCTATAGGAATCTTTGCTTAATGGCTTCCAAGTAATCTACCATTAGCATTGTTTAGGAAATACAATAAGATGAGAAGAATGGATTCTTAAAAAGCTTATGACACTTCATGAAAAACCTAGGAAAAAATCTACTACTTACTTAATTTTTTGATACAAAAAAAGTTCTTTTCTTGAATGATCTGATTTATAGTTAGGCAGACGTTCCCTCATAAAACTAGTCCTGTCAATAAGGGTGCAAAGTTAATGCACAAACTGTTAAGTAGTTTATTTCTTCTAAAAATGGATGGTCTGAAATGTTTGTTTCTTTATATATTCTTTTTATCTTTCCTAAAATAAAATGTAGCTCTACCCCCACTTTTTTTTCTTTTAACACAACTTTTAAATCTACAAATAAGGTTCTCTTTTGTATGAAATTATTTTACGGTTGTTATTTTGCTACATTTTCATCTGTTTCCTTAGACAGAAATTCAGTGTGAGAAAGGATTTCTGAGATCATTTGATACCCTTCCCCTTGACTGAGATGAGGGCTAAGGCCCACAGAGGTTCAATTATGACAGCCAAGCTAAAAATAACCCCGGCTAGCATAATTTATTGCTTCTTCAGACTCGTTCTCTTGTCAATTTTATACTCATAAACTAGCAGAATTCTTTGCCATTACACAGTAGTTTGACTCACGTGTTCAGTTTAGTGCTTAAACAGCGTCTCCCATCGGAGACGGGATCATACCAGTGATCGTCCTCCAAGCTGATGCTACAGCAACAGCCTAGCACATAGGGCCTGGTGACTGGGGTCCATCTGCAGAACCTTGATGGCTACTGTCACAACTTGGCCCCAATCTCAATGGAGCATGAGGCAGAGAACTCAAAATCTTCATTATATACCCACTTTGAGGCAGCCCTGGGGTTTTACATGCCATTTTTAATTTCCGAAGGAATCACAGACTTTTACAGCTTCGGTTTAAAAGTTAGAAAGTAATTTAGAATTTGGGGCTTTCTTCTGAATAGCAGAGGATCCAAGTGTACCATTAAGATGCAGAATGGATACATCTTTAAGAAAAAGGGAAGCTCTATTTGAATTACTTTTTTTTTTTTTTGAGGTCACCAGGGTAACCTTCAGTACCCCTGATTTGGCAGACTACAAGCTCCTTGAAGGCAGACTACAAGCTCCACTTTCTTTCTTTCTTTTTTCTTTTTTTTTTTATTCTGTTTCCCCAGTGCCTACCCAAGCTCCTGGCACAGAGCCAGCACCCAGCAAATTACGTTCAAGTGTGATGGGTAGAACAGATGGGAAGGATTTCCAAAGGGTAGAAGTACCTGTAACCAATGCTTTGAGATAATAGCTTTGTTCTGACCCTGAAATGTCCCAGATATATACGGAGTTCTATTTACACAATAAAGTTATTACATTGTAAAGTAATTACTTTGGTGATTATTGGCTATTCACTTTAATAAAAAAAAATACAAATAATAAATAATTTTTAATTTCCCAAAGCCCCAGAGTTTTACCTCTGAGGGAAAAAAAAACAGCCTCGATAGAGGGAACTGGGTTTGTAAATACATGACAATATCATTGAAATGGACTATAACTGAGTGCCATCAAAATTTACTTTATGCTCTTTGTACTTCTCAGGAAAAACAAAGGTAAGGGAGAATAGACGGCACAAAACAAAACAAAAGGTAAAAACCCTCAAAAAGACTTCCTAGCTCCATTCCTAGCAATAGGTCAAACACTGAGGCTACAAGGGCCTTGAGATTTCTTATGAGAAACTGTAGTAAGAAAAATACAGTGACTCATCTCATAATAATGCCCTTTCTTCCCAAAGCACACATCCCAATTCCCACATCCCCAGCACATGGGCACTTGGTGCAGAGCTGTCGCAACCCGGAGCATCTCCGGGCACTAACGCCCCGCGGGGGGGTGGGGGCGACAGCAATGCCAACGCTGGGGTAACAGACCTCCCTGGTGTTGGGGGAGGGCACGAGGGGGTGGCATGGCTACACCTGCTCTGCCCTCCAAGGGAGGGAGATTACTCCCTTTGTACCACTGGATCTGGAACAGCAGTCCTTTTGTGTAGCCACCTTCAGGAACCGGGGCACTACGTGCAGCCGGCTTCCTCCAATACAGGCTGGAAGACGCCCCTTGGCAGAGCAGTTCTGAACAGGCACTCCCAGCTTTCCTAACCAACTGTCATTTAGACACTGAGGAACCAAAAAGAAAAAAGAAAAAAGGAGGAGGAAGAAGGAAAGGAATCCGCTACTCGAGGCACAAGCTGGGTGCCCAGGCTGTTTGTTGTCTGGGTACTGGCTTACTCCCCCATCACTTTGGGGGCCATGGCAGACTGAGTACAGTAAACACTTAGAGGAACCTTGCTGATGTTTATTGACAAAAACGCATCTCCAATACGGCTATTTAGGAAGCCGATTTCCCAGTCCTTCCCAGCCCAGTCAGACATTCCTGGAGAATAACCACCAACGGAAATGAGATGGATCCTGCCCTTTGGCAAATATCAGTGTGAAGGGATGAAGATGTCAAGGCTTTTCAGAAGTTCAAGGAATATGCACACAAGAGCCAGGTATCACTGGCTTTGGGCATTTGAAGTACATAACGAGGAGTATGCCTGCCTTCTCTGAGACAGAAGGCAATTCTGAGAAGGAAGGATGGTTTACTGAGCCTCACGTGGCTGAGACAGGTAGGCTCTGCAGAGGTCCAACATCAGTGAGGCGAGAGCTCCAAGGCACCTGCGGTGGAAGACCATGTTTTTGGCCTGATGGGCAATTTGCAGGAGGGCCCTGGGTAAGCCTGGATAGTTCACCATTTCTAGGGACAACAAGCTTAAGGAAGTGGTGGACTGGGGGCCTGAAAGGAGAAAGGGGTGCACAGAGCCTGTGTCCAGGGAGGGACCTGGTTAGCGGTGCTACATGTTAGCTGACTCCCGTGTGCGTGGCTGGGAAGCGTATGTTCCTGAAGGCATAGTCAGAGGTGTGGGAGTGGAGCGGCAGCAGAGCCAGAGACGGAGCACATCCGCAGAGAGTCACTGAAAACAATGAAGGACCCTGGTGATAGGAACTCTGATAGCGTTAATCACTACAAGTCACAACGTACTGAGGATAAGAAAACTGAACGGGCTTATGTAAAAGGCTGAGACTAGTCAACTCCTCAGAATGAAAACTTAACATTTAGGAAGTCCTCCAGATTACAGGATTTCTATGACAGCAGTTATAGAAAACTCAGATCCATATAAAGACCAGTGCCCCGAAGGAGGATAGTATTTCATTTGTATTGAAATGTTTTAACTCAGCCTTAATCATTTAAGATATAAAGTATTAATATTACATATCATAAAAGATCTAATTTCTTCTGTATTCCATCTGAAGCAGTGACACTTCCTGGTACAGTTAACTGTTTTCTTAAACCACAGATCAATTTCTTCACTGCTCTGAGAATCAGTTAAGTTGTATTATCGTTGTTTACCAACAATGTTACTACTTTAGTATTTATTAATTTACTAAGACAACTCTAACATCCTGGGAACATTTCAAAGAATACACTTTGAATACTTTTTGCCAAATTCGCTTCATTTATGCCATTTAATTGATACATGAAGAAATAAGGGTCCCAATGGCTTTTCCAAAGAGATCATCTGCTCCAAACAAAAGCTTGTCTGCTCTCTACTTTCCCCAAGACCCTATTCACCCTTCTAGCATTTACTTAAGATGAGCTAAGAAGCTGGTTTTAGACCATGTGGCCCAAATTTCACATTTCATATAGATTAAAAAATAATAAACATAAGGAGTCATCTAATATCCCCAAAAATTATTTTAGAAGCATAACAATCATGTCATACTTCATGTCCAGGTTTCGTGTCTGCTAGATTTTTCTCCTCTTTGTTAAAGTTCAAGTAATATATCCAAAAATATGAAAAAAATTTATACAGCGGTAAGTTTAGATTGTGGACTGTGGCTGCAGCGCAACACACACACACACACACACACACACACACACACACCAAGTAGACTCTCTTAAGTGTGTATGTTATGCTTAAAAGACAAAGCTCAAAGCTACCATAGTGTGGATAAGTTTTCTCTATTTATCTGCACTGAGAACTCCAACGAAACACAAATGAAACAAGGACCTGATGAGGCTTGAGACTAAGCCTGAGAAAAGAGACAGAAAACAAGCCCTATCAGCAAAGAAACAACACACTGGGGAAAAGTACTGATTCTCATGAAAATGTCAGTGATTCACCACGGAATAAAATTCAAAAGCCACTGACCCCAATGAAAGCTTCTAGCGGAAACATGTGGATTTTGCTTCATTTCACTGAAAGACTTTGCTTTATCTCATTTGAATATTATCATAAGCATCATCACAGTTTTTGTGATATGTTGCTTTCTCATGTAAAATTGATGTGGAAAAGATATGGTTGATCAAACTAAATTTTCAACGGGTCTTCAGAACAAGAAAATAAAAGCAAATAAACCAAAACACATCAGTTAGTATTACCATGCAATAGGTAGGACATTTTTCATCCCCTAAAACATGCACTGAATGCTGGGTAGCCAAATGATAACTGAAGACAGCAATTTTTCAATTTTTACGGTAAATTGTCTTTAAGCGGACTTATTTACAGGATGTTTTTGTACATACCAATTCTTCATTCTGACTTGCCAAAAGATCACGACTGAATGAAAGCTGACTTACACAGACCACAAATCTGTCAGGAAATACACGGAGCTCTGCACAAAATGAAGAAAATAAAATTACTAAAGGCATCAAAAATCTATGACCAGAGAAATGCTTGGTCCCAGAATTTTCTGTTCTAGTCATAAGTATGTATGTATAAGACACATGTCTCTTCTCCTCACCTTTCAGTGTTTGCACTCAGCAGGGCGGGGCAAGTACAGAGCTCTGGGGAGCACCCAGGAGGCTGCAAATTGGTCCACCTGAGCCCCTGGACCATTATATTGTATCCCATGAAACCCCCAGGCAGGGCCCTTGCAGCCCTCCCCCTGTGTCAGTTTGCTGTTCTCTGACCAGAACTCACATTTGGGAAATAGGATCAACGTTCTCTAATGAGTGTGCAGATTTATACAGGAGGAAGAGGAAGATAGAAGATAAAATCTGAAAACTCATTGACATTCTAACTAATTGCTTTAATTGTCATCTCTTTGGTCATCTGGTCTTAGATCCATCCCCTAAACTGGAGGGCAGATTCCCAAACTGAATCAGGCTATGGAAATAGCAGTGTCATTAACAGGAATAATAATAAGCAAATAGTAAAACATGTGATAGCACAGTTGATACAATTACACTACAGTCACACTAATCTATCATTACAACTTCTTAAAGCAAAACCACTGACTTTTGGGTGGAAAAGGCTGAAGGAATCACAGAACTGGATGCCCCAACATTCAAAGAAAAAAAGAATATGAAGTGGTAAATGCCATCTGTATCTTTTCTCCTCTCTCATTTGTCTATCCATCCACATTCACGTACGCAGCCTCCACCTATCTCTGGAGTGATGTTTAGCTGATGCTAATAATGTGCATTCTGGGTGGGAGGTGAGGATCTTCTCCCTTCTTTATATTTGGTTGTACTGCTCTAATATTTTTATAATACACATGTATCATACTGATTAACACAAAGCCATTTTTCTAAAAGAGAAAACTTCCATCTAAGATGACCAATATTTTTACAGAGGGATGGTATGAATCGGTAAGTGAGGCCTTTTACACACATTGCTCATTTCCAACAATGGCTGACAATGTGAGGGACTGACTGAGGCAATAACACCTTTTAGCCTGATATACTCAGGGGCCAAGTATGAAGGTGTTGATTACACAGACGCACAACTTAAACAGAATTAACACCATACCACCTGGCTAGGTTAAATTACACGAAAGGCCTAATGAGTTGAAGTTCTAGTAAGAGCCATCTCCTTACCCACCCCTAGACCACTGCTGTGTCCTTGGTGATCACTCTTCCCTATTCTATTTCATCCTACTCAGTGCAAACAGGTTACCAGCTCTAAAAAACAAACAAACAAACAAACAAAAAACCAAAAAAACCCCAGCTCCATTTATCCTGCTCAAAACCCCATTCTCAGTATCTACCACATGACCTAGAAACTTCAAAGCCCTCCCTGAGTGGAACCTAACCTGTCACTCTGGTCTTATCCCCACACTAGTCCTCCTCATGTAGGAATCCCCATTTCAGAAAGTCTGAGTGTGCTGTGAAACTCTGACCTCTTATAGATGTTTTATCTGGTTAGAAGACTAGGGATGGACTTTGAAAAGCCAAAAATAAATAAAATAGAAGTCATTAATATCTATTCATTAATTCTTTTTTTTTAAAGATAGTTATTTAGTTATTTATTTGACAGAGGGAGAGGGGGAAAGAGAGACAGAGTACAAGTAGGGGGAGCAACAGAGGGAGAAGGAGAAGCAGGATCCCCACTGAGTTGGGAGCCTGATGCAGGGCTGATTCCAGGATCCAGGGATCATGACCTGAGCTGAAGGCAGATGCTTAACTGACCGAGCCACCCAGGCATCCTTATTCACTAATTGTTAACATTTCTTAAAACAAAACAAAACAAACAAAAAAAAAGATTTTATTTATTTGAGAGAGAGAGAGCATGAGTGTAAGAGCAGGGGAAGGGGCAGAGGGAAAGGGAGAGGGAGCAGCAGACTCCCTGCTGAGCACAGAGCCCAACACAGGGCTCAATCCCAGGATCCCGAGATCATGACCTGAGCCAAAGTCAGGTGCTTAACCAACTGGGCCACTCAGGCACCCTAATTCTTAAAATTTCTTAATGAGATAAGTGGTAAGTAGTCTGCTTCTCACTCTCAGGAAGGAGGAACTGAGTCACAGAATTCATTATTTGCTTCTTGCCCAAAACCATAAAATTTAAATACAACTCAGTAGATCAGAATTCAAATTCAAAATGATCAATTCTATCCAATAATTTCCCTTATTTGTCCTTCCACTTCTTCCTCTGAAAAATAAGAATGCTAGAATGATGAATTTTGAACATTTGGGGGCCAGGTATTGTATAAACAGAAAGCAACATCTGCACGCCTTTTCTTTGCTTAGGTCATAACTGGAATTTTTACTGTTTTAATATTTAAATAAAGTGAAGATTTAGGCAATAACAATCTCTACCATACAGGGTGGCTAGTCTTCATTTTAACAGACAGGCTTATTTTACTAAGAGAACTGAACAAAGTGGAAAGTCCCATTAAGATTATATATATATATGTACATATACATACACACACACACACATATTTATTTATTTTGGGGCACCTGGGTGGCTAAGTGGGTTAAGCCTCTGCTTTCGGGCCAGGTCATGATCTCAGGGTCCTGGGATCGAGTCCCGCATCGGCCTCTCTGCTTGGCAGGGAGCCTGCTTTCTCCTCTCTCTCTCTGCCTGCATGTCTACCTACTTGTGATCTCTGTCAAATAAATAAATAAAATCTTTAAAATAAAAAAGATACAGATATATATATTTTAAAAGAGTAATATATTTGATTGACACTTAAAGTTTAAAAAGTGCAGATCATTGTTAAGATTCCAAGAGCAAATCTCCACACAGTTTATTTTCAAAGTCCCTGTTTCATATCTTATATATTAAAATCATCCAAGGAAGTTCAGTTAAATTTTCTTTCCAATGTTCAGATCAGCTTGGAGAATTGTCATTAGCATCTGACTTTATTGTTGTTGGCTGGACATGTTTGACGTCATTTCCCCAGTGGACTTCTTGACTTGGGGAAATGAGGAGGGAAGCTGGCCTTGTCACACACCTAAGAAAGGCTCTGACAGCGCTGGGCTGGGAAAGCATTTTCTCGTGTACACACTTGTTCTGTATCCCAGGGACTTGGTGTGCACAGACAAAGATGAAGTGATTCATAGTTTAACTGCCTGTCCAATCATTCTGGAAGCTCAATGAAAGTGCTGAGATGCAGCAGGAGAATGAAGCATAATGTGGCTCAGCTCACAGTTCTCAGAGGCAGTAAATCAGTGAAAATTGAAAAACAAAACAACAACAAAAATCACAAATATTTAGAAATAGTCTTAATTAGTACTTCAATTTCATAAAGGCAATGAAGCAAGTTGGAATCTTCATTCCTTAATTTTCATTCCTTCTCTAGTGCAAGTTAATAGTGCAAAATGCCTGACAACTAAAGAAATCAGTTTCTTACCAGTACTCTGTGAACCCCTGAAACAGTAAAGGCGTAACCCTCTCTTGAGGAAATAGGCTGTGATTTGAAAGCCATAACCTGCAAAGTGAAAGAGGAAATCATTAGACTATAAACTTGTTTGCCACTAAATCCCATTAGCTCCCCAATGCCTATGATATAGTATGTGTTCAATAACCATTTACCAAATGAAAGAATAAAAGGAATCAATCGTGGGACTCACTTGAAAGGAAAGGTTAAATATTACAATCTGAGCTCCTCTAGCCTGGACAGAGCACCTGGCTGGAATGGTCTCCAGTCCCTGAAGTACCTCAGTTGCTTTATCTGTACAATGAATTCAACCAAGAATTCTCTCCCCCTTAAGGTTATCATTCCACAGGGCACCTGGGTGGCTCAGTTGGTTAGGCGGCTGCCTTCAGCTCAGGTCATGATCCCAGGCCTGGGATAGAGCCCCACATCGGGCTCCTTGCTCAGCGGGGACCCTGCTTCTCTCTCTGCCTGCCACTCCCTCTGCTTGTGATTTCTCTCTCTCTCTCTGACAAAGAAACAAAATCTTAAAAAAAAAAAAAAAAGGTTATCATTCTAAATTGAAGGAGAGATTAAGAGTTTTCCTGATAAGCAAAAGGTATAGGATTCATCGCCACTATACTGGCCCTATGAGAAATGCTAAAGGGCCTTCTTTAAGCCAAAGAGAAATTGCACTATTCATTATAACCAAATATATATATTTGGTTAAAAATATTAGAAAATATATATTTGGCTATAATTAATATATTATATATTCATAATTAACATATATTATATATGTTCATATATATATATATGAATGAAGTTTAAAAATTTCACTGGAAAAGGAAAATATGTAACAAAGGTAGTGGACAATTGCTTGTAAAGCAAGTGTGAAAGTTAAAAGAAATATCGTAAAATACCCTCAAACTACAATAATTAGTTAAGGGCAGCATAAAATAAAAAGATGCAAAATGTGTCATCAAAAAATATAAAACATGGGGGAAGGGTAATAAAGTAAAGCTTTGGAATGTATTAAAAATTAAGTTTCTATGAGCCTAAAACAAGCTGCTATTTATATATGATATTTTATGTAAACCTCATGGTTACCACAAGGGAAGAAGTATATAGTAAATACACAAAAGAAAATGAGAAAGGAAGCTAAACATAACATTAAAGAAAGTTATCAAACCACAAAGGAAGAGAGAGAGAAGAAAGGAACAGAAAGGAACTACAAAAATGAGAAAATAATGAAGAAAATGGCAGTAAGTATATACTTATGTGTACTTTAAATGTAAATGGTTTAAAATCATCAGTAAAAAGACACAGAGTGCAAAGCAGATTAAAAAAAAACAAAAACAAAAACCAAGACCCATCTATATGCTGCCTACAAGATATTCACTTCAGAAGTAAGAACACAGAGTCAAGATGACGGAGAAGTAGCAGGCTGAGACTACTTCAGGTAGCGGGAGATCAGCTAGATAGCTTATCTAAAGATTGCAAACAGCTACAAATCCAACGGGAGATCGAAGAGAAGAAGAACAGCAATTCTAGAAACAGAAAATCAACCACTTTCTGAAAGGTAGGACTGGCGGAGAAGTGAATCCAAAGCGACGGGAAAATAGACCGCGGGGGAGGGGCCAGCTCCCAGCAAGCGGCAGAGCCACGGAGCACAAAATCGGGACTTTTAAAAGTCTGTTCCACTGAGGGACATCGCTCCAGAGGCTTAACCGGGGTGAAGCCCGCGCGGGGTCAGTGTGGCCTCAGGTCCCGCAGGGTCACAGAAGGATCGGGGGTGTCTGAGTGTTGCAGAGCTTACAGGTATTAGAACCAGGAAGCCGGCTACAGAGACAGAGCCGAGGAGTGAGCTCTAAGCTCGGGTTTACCTTGAACCGGTCGCAGGCTCGGTCAGCTTGGAGCGCGGCCGGAGGCCAGGGTGATGGGAGCAATTGGGTGCTGTTCTCTGAGGGCGCACTGAGGAGTGGGGCCCCAGACTCTCGGCTCCTCCGGGCCAGAGACTGGGAGGCCGCCATCTTCATTCCCATCCTCCGGAACTCTACGGAAAGCGCTCAGGGAACAAAAGCTCCCGAAAGCAAACCCAAGCGGATTACTCAGCCCGGCCCCTGGTAAGGGCGGTGCAACTCCGCCTGGGGCAAAGACACTTGAGAATCACTACAACAGGCCCCTCCCCCAGAAGATCAACAAGAAACCCAGCCAGGACCCAGTTCACCTACCAAGGAGTGCAGTTTCAATACCAAGGAGAGCCTTGGAATTCCAGAGGAGGAGAAAGCAAAGCACTGAACTCATGGCTTTCTCCCCATGATTCTTTAGCCTTGCAGTTAATTTAATTTTTTTTTCTTTTTCAATTTTTTTTCTCTTCTTCTGCTAATTTTTTTTAACTTTTACCCTTTTCTCTTTTAACGTTTTTTAACTAGTTTATCTAATATATATATATATATTTTTTTTCCTTTTTATATTTTTTCATTATTGGTTTTCTTCTTTTGTTTCTTTTTTCTTTTTTCTTTTTCTTTTTTTTTCTTTTCTTTTTTTCTTTCTGAACCTCTTTATATCCCCTCCCTCCCCCTCACGATTTGGGATCTCTTCTGATTTGGCTAAAGCATATTTTCCTGGGGTTGTTGCCACACTTTTAGTATTTTACTTGTTCCTTCATATACTCTTATCTGGACAAAATGACAAGGAGGAAAAATTCACCACAAAAAAAAGAACAAGAGGCAGTACCAAAGGCTAGGGACCTAATCAATACAGACATTGGTAATATGTCAGATCTAGAGTTCAGAGTGACGATTCCCAAGGTTCTAGCCGGGCTCGAAAAAGGCATGGAAGATATTAGAGAAACCCTCTCGGGAGATATAAAAGCCCTTTCTGGAGAAATAAAAGAACTAAAATCTAATCAAGTTGAAATCAAAAAAGCTATTAATGAGGTGCAATCAAAAATGGAGGCTCTCACTGCTAGGATAAATGAGGCAGAAGAAAGAATTAGCGATATAGAAGACCAAATGACAGAGAATAAAGAAGCTGAGCAAAAGAGGGACAAACAGCTACTGGACCACGAGGGCAGAATTCGAGAGATAAGTGACACCATAAGACGAAACAACATTAGAATAATTGGGATTCCAGAAGAAGAAGAAAGAGAGAGGGGAGCAGAAGGTATATTGGAGAGAATTATTGGAGAGAATTTCCCCAATATGGAAAAGGGAACAAGCATCAAAATCCAGGAGGTTCAGAGAACCCCCCTCAAAATCAATAAGAATAGGTCCACACCCCGTCACCTAATAGTCAAATTTACAAGTCTTAGTGACAAAGAGAAAATCCTGAAAGCAGCCCGGGAAAAGAAGTCTGTAACATACAATGGTAAAAATATTAGTTTGGCAGCAGACTTATCCACAGAGACCTGGCACGCCAGAAAGAGCTGGCATGATATATTCAGAGTACTAAACGAGAAAAACATGCAGCCAAGAATACTATATCCAGCTAGGCTATCATTGAAAATAGAAGGAGAGATTAAAAGCTTCCAGGACAAACAAAAACTGAAAGAATTTGCAAACACCAAGCCAGCTCTACAGGAAATATTGAAAGGGGTCCTCTAAGCAAAGAGAGACCCTAAAACTAGTAGATCAGAAAGGAACAGAAACAATATACAATAACAGTCACCTTATAGGCAATACAATGGCACTAAATTCATATCTCTCAATAGTTACCCTGAATGTTAATGGGCTAAATGCCCCAACCAAAAGACACAGGGTATCAGAATGGATAAAAAAACAAAACCCATCTATATGTTGCCTACAAGAAACTCATTTTAAACCCGAAGACACCTTCAGATTTAAAGTGAGGGGGTGGAAAAGAATTTACCATGCTAATGGACATCAGAAGAAAGCAGGAGTGGCAATCCTTATGTCAGATCAATTAGATTTTAAGCCAAAGACTATAATAAGAGATGAGGAAGGACACTATATCATACTCAAAGGATCTGTCCAACAAGAAGATCTAACAATTTTAAATATCTATGCCCCTAACGTGGGAGCAGCCAACTATATAAACCAATTAATAACAAAATCAAAGAAACACATCAACAACCATACAATAATAGTAGGGGACTTTAACACTCCCCTCACTGAAATGGACAGATCATCCAAGCAAAAGATGAACAAGGAAATAAAGGCCTTAAATGACACACTGGACCAGATGGAAATCACAGATATATTCAGAACATTTCATCCCAAAGCAACAGAATACACATTCTTCTCTAGTGCCCATGGAACATTCTCCAGAATAGATCACATCCTCGGTCCTAAATCAGATCTCAACCGGTATCAAAAGATTGGGATCATTCCCTGCATATTTTCAGACCACAATACTCTGAAGCTAGAACTCAATCACAAGAGGAAATTTGGAAAGAACCCAAATACATGGAGACTAAACAGCATCCTTCTAAAGAATGAATGGGTCAACCAGGAAATTAAAGAAGAATTGAAAAAATTCATGGAAACAAATGATAATGAAAACACAACGGTTCAAAATCTGTGGGACACAACAAAGGCAGTCCTGAGAGGAAAATATATAGCGGTACAAGGCTTTCTCAAGAAACAAGAAAGGTCTCAGGTACACAACCTAACCCTACACCTAAAGGAGCTGGAGAAAGAACAAGAAAGAAACCCTAAACCCAGCAGGAGAAGAGAAATCATAAAGATCAGAGCAGAAATCAATGAAATAGAAACCAAAAAAACAATAGAACAAACCAATGAAACTAGGAGCTGGTTCTTTGAAAGAATTAATAAGATTGATAAACCCCTGGCCAGACTTATCAAAAAGAAAAGAGAAAGGACCCAAATAAATAAAATCATGAATGAAAGAGGAGAGATCACAACGAACACCAAAGAAATACAGACAATCATAAGAACATATTATGAGCAACTCTATGCCAACAAATTTGACAATCTGGAAGAAATGGATGCATTCCTAGAGACATATAAACTACCACAAATGAACCAGGAAGAAATAGAAAGCCTGAACAGACCCATAACCAGTAAGGAGATTGAAACAGTTGTCAAAAA